CAATCAGGACATCTTTTTTGGCCAAATGTAAATGGCCGTTTGAATCTGAACTCGGAATGGTGACCTTAAAATAATACTCATCCACAATTTGAATGCCACTGACGTCCAAGATGTTCCAGCCCCAACGATGCTAAACAGTGCATTTACGCAAATTTTTCTGTTTGCCCCAGACATACGAACTCCAATTCATTATAACTTATCTTTGTTCCCTCTCTCAATGTGGGGCATTATCCACATATCTTCCCTACACTGTTTACAGAAGTTAATCACACACGTGCTCATAGCCTCCTAGGGACGATGGTAATCTTCTAGATTTAGCCAAAGGCAATCCGTCCAAGGAAGCGTTTTAAGCGACCCTTAGATGTGCCCCCTGTATGCACCAAGATTAGAGTAAATAATCAAAATAAGAGACATACGTCGGGCACTCTGAGCTCATGTTTTAGGAGGAAAAAAATAAAGTAAACTTTCTCAGCAAACAGTGAAGTAGCACAAAGCTGGAAGGAGCCAAGCCAGTACGGCCATGAAAGTGAGGGAGAGGAAAACTCATAAACGCCAATCGATGCACTATCTCGAATAATTGAATTAATATACGATTTGTAACTGGCTCCCGATAAATCTCTTGGGATAGCAACGTTGTGGCGACTTTCGGTTCTTGTGAAAGCACCTTAAGAGGAGATGTGCAGGACATCTCATGACGACGTTGCTCTGTAGTCGTTTGATTTCATCATGAACTTCAGGTGGAGGCTCTAAATTGCATGCAATATCTACTCACAACAACAACAACAATGACAACAGTGGAAAATAACTTAAAGCTATGGATAGATTTAGATAGATACAGCTTTCTCTTGTGAGTTGTTTTTCATGTCATCCTACAGACTTGTACGTTTGAGTGCGTAAGTGCATGTGTACTGGTGTTTGTCGGGGCACCAGACCAGAAGTCACAACTATAACAGAGTGCAAAGTTTTACGACCGACGAAAGGGTAAAAGGCAAGTGCATAATCCCGATTGAGTTGATGAGCTTAGCAGATGTACAGAACGAATTTGAATTTGGTTAAGAGCGTCATCGGTAAGCCAGTCGGTTATGAAACAGGTTTGCTGCCTCATTCAAGTCCGAGTGAGCTACAGCTCTGATACTATCCGTCGTATGATAGACGAAGGATCAACCCACTTCCCAGAAATAGCTACAGAATATCGTGGCAAAATGATTGCCATGATGCTTCTTGCGAGATTGACCGACAGATCACTACATCAGGCACGTCTACATGAAGTGAAAGTCACTACAACACTCGAATTATGGCACAATGCTTAACTCATTTGCGGCCTTTTGCATCAAAACTACCACCGCTTTGAACATGTTGCCATTGATAATGATGAATGTTGTGAGGCCATCTGATTCCCGCCATCTTGCCTCAAATCTGGTTACCGAGGCCGGTAGAATGCCATTCAATTTATTGCGTCTTTTGACCGATTGGAGCCGGTCTTGGATCTGGTTCGAGGCTCCAGATAGACCCAAGCAAGTTCGAAATTGGACTGGATGGCATTTTGCGATACCCAGCCTCAAGAAGTTTATTGCGCTGAAATTAACGCAAACCTTGCAAACCGTGACTAATGGAAGCTTAAGTAAAGAGGTGATTCGGCTCTGGAAACAGCCTTGAAACCCCACCTTGCGAGCTAGCACGTTTGCGCAAATGGATACCAAACTAAGGCCTGGCTGAGTTCGCAATCTAGTTTCCAGAACAAGCGAGATTTGTTGTTACAAGCGCCAGTTTTTGCTGGTAAGACGCTATTGCTCCATTTGCGGCCTCGATCCTGAGCCTAAAGGCAGAAGCAGACAGCCTATTTATGCATACTTTATTGTCACACATGCGTAAGCGGACATTCACCTCCGTGCACACAGGCTGGCATAGAAACACCAATTCACATGTAACCGCGCCTAGCAGTACTGCTCACACGCATGTCTACAAACGGGCAATCACATTCACATGTGTACAAAGATCCATATGCATATATTCATAGTTCAGCACGTTCCAATATTCATTGTCACATTTGTGCAGTCGTGAACGTGAGAACAACTCGACAAGGGTAGGTTCATAACTGCATTTTGCCACTGGTCCACGGTTGTTTCACTTAAGCGAAGCCTTGAAATGGTCGCTTTGTTTCAGTTTTCTCAAGTAGTAGGCGCACGTGCATACCGAAATACGAAGAATTCACACAAACAGTCGCTCACATTTCACATAAAGGCAGCGTGCACTGCAATGTCCATCTACATTCGCAATTCCCCCTCCCGATCGACTTCAACCCGCCCCCATGGAAGCGTTTATACCCAGCTAATACATAGACAATCACGTAGGCTGTCGTCTTGGTTACAAATCGGCTCCCATCCATACAGCCGACGGGAGGCCACGTATGTAATGAGCTTCTCCAGAAGCTTGGCTGCTTGCACAGCCAGACTGAAAGCACGCTCTGGCAAGTCGAATTGGTGATTGTCGGCTAGAAGCGAAGGCTCGATCAAACTGCGAATCAGACAACTCACATGCATGAAAGAGAAAGAAGAGGAGGGAACGAATTCGAAACACACCTGAACACACTTACTACTCAACTTTGTGCTCATCCATGCCCACTAGCATGCTACCTACTTCTCATAATTAGATTGCTCCTTACGTGTATGAATGCATTCATTCATTCTGAATTAGTATCCTGGTGCTTTCTTGATGGATCATTTGGATGCGGGGTACCAATACATTCTTATAAAATTATATGTTAACTTGCTCTCCCGGGCGGACACCCACACACACACCCTCTCACACACGCACAAGTACACGCTCGCATAAGCTCACTGACAAATGTCTAAATGGTGAAGCTATAGAGATATGCACAGGTGTGATGTGTTGACATACTAACACCAAAATAAAAAATCAGTTGATACATAAAATGCCAAACCATAAAATGGAATATTTGCTTCCCCATCTCACTAGGAGTTGGTGCTCTTGATCTCATTACGTGATTGCGGTTTTGCATATCTTTGAGTAAGCACAAAATACTTTTGTGCATGTACGTGCTTAGAGCTAATGAAAATCCATCTTAATTCAGCCTTGCTTTCCATTTTCAGAAATATAAACTAGCCCATAGACAGGTGATTGCAAATAATTGTTATGCAATCCTGTTGCTTTAGGTCTACATTATTGCGAGATTTTCAAGACCCAAATTAATCACACTATTCACACTACTCGCGCTGGCTCAAGACCTTCAACCCTCTGGTATTGCTTTCTTCCAAGTTTTCACTTCAGCTGACTCATCTATGCTGGATCAAAGTGGCATAACGCACTTGTTCGAAGCTCAGAATTTTATGTGAAATAAAAAAAAACTGGAAACTCTAATTGTTATCCGAAATAAAATAGGTGCGAACCACTTCAAGCCATTCTTTAGATAATTGCATCCTGTCTGGGGTGTGAATCACTTAAGGTTCTATGTGTGATATGCAAGAATGCCTGGTTGTATTAAACAAACTACGTTATGATGACTGCCTAATGCTTGAGGAATGCCCGGCAACGTTCCGATGCATGCTCACAAGGGCAGATAATGTTCTACGGGATACGTTGTTCGAAGCTTTCTGAAGCCATGGTAGGATTGCGAAAACGCATTCAAACCGATGCTAAACAAAGTCACCGACAGCCCTTTGGGCTGACAGACAGACCGAGGGTCAGCTATATTTTTGTAGAAAAGTGTGCATAAGCAAAAGGTGCTGGAATAAAGTTGGTATATGCGGACAAAAGCAAACAAATGGGAGTATGAATAGGCTGATGGGCAAACGTACGCACACACAAACCGAGGGGAATAGAGACATCTGCATGCAGAAAATGTGCAGAGTAATAGAAACCGAGATGACAACAAACTGCAGGCTTTAGCTGAGTACATAATGAGGCATCGCATGCTTTATATTATGCCAAGTCAGGACCTAGCCCTTTGAAGGCAAATAAACAGATTTCATGTTGTTTATGGGGGAAATGACGGCATGATGACCTGCCATGGTCTGGCTAAATGTGAAAAAAGGTGGCTTAGACAAGTGGCGCATACGAGGTTGACCGGCAAGAGGTGAAGAGGCAAAAAGTGGTGAGCAGAAGCTTTCGGCTGAAGAGCACACAGCGACCAGACTAGGGTCCTCTAAAAAGCATGCCTACTTCCGTCGCCGGAACTGAAGGGATAATCTGTGATTGCTGCTTGAATCCGTCTTGCTGTGTCCATTAGCCGCTAAGAATGGGGAATAAATCGGTCAAGGAATGGCAATCAAGTCGGAGAGAAACGACAAGACAGGATGCTGGTGACGTAACTACAGCTCTTCTCAATCAATTTAGCACATGCGCACCCTTTTGGATAGCTCGTTGAATAGGCCATTTTTATGTCGTTTTAAGTTACAAACGCTCATTCGGAGATTGAAAGGAGTAGCATACATGAAACTGTCTAGTGCAGACGCTAAGACGTACATTTTTTCAACATAAGGCCAGGAATGAGACAGCCCAAAGCATCAAGAATATACAGACCCACAACTTTTCCACAATTCGGCCTACTTGACCTCCATGCATTTCTCATCTCTTTCCTGTTTGGGCAAATGGATTCTCCCCCGTCTGAGTCTAATGGTTGATATTGCTTATGAAAGAACACGCATCAATGCGTCCACAATATGAGAGAGGTCTTTGGCAGTACATAATCTGATAGACCAATTGCGGTCTGGTGTTTGTTAGTAATAGCCTCTTGTATTTTCATGGGTACTTATAAACCTCAGATGTTAGTAGGCTTCTCGCCGTGAGCCGAAGAACACCATCGATCTCGGTGAGTCTGACGTTTACCGTAATTCCAATCGCAATCCTTGTTTCTCTCTACATCTTTATTCTTCCCAGGTTGCTAAGGTGAGGCGGGACCGAGAAGGAATTTTATTGCAATGAAATAGGTTTGACTCATGGTGCCAATGTATATCACTAATTGTTGAGCTTACTTCCATTTCGAGTGAAAGTGTTGCGTGAAAAGATTCGAAGGTCGGTTCTACCAGAAGACGACAGCGGATTCTTCTTGACCAGCTGTCGATTGGCTCAACTGGCAGATTCATGCTGACGCTGTTTCCGAGGTAATCTCCTTCGATTCTGGTGAACATCATCAGAGCAAGGTATCATCGTCACAACCAAATTCAAGCTAACGAGTCAAGAAAACTCACCGG